CGCCAGCCGCGGTCTCGGGGTACGCATCCCTAAGACCTTTCCATTTTTGACTTGGCATCCTCAGCAGAGCTGGGAGATGCAGGCCGTACAGTTAAAGAGAAAGATCTTGAGCTGCTGTGCTCGTGTCCTGTATTTTTTTGGGGGCAACATTTGCTCAACAATCCTTCCCTGGGTTGTGCCACGTTCCCATATGCAGTGGACGCACAGAGCACCATGTCCTTGCAGAAGTTGAAGGGCATTTGGTTTCAAATTTACGTCCTCACACCCGGCGGCCTAGCTTGGGAAGCGCTTTGACATCACAGCTGTTGTTATTTTGGATTTCCTCGTTTTGGACTCTCCAAGCAAGTGAGTGAGCGACTGGTGATTCCAAACAAAAACACCCCGGTTCCATCCAGAGTTTTTTGTGTGGATTTCACACCTTTTGATTCACGTTGCCCTGTGCAAGTTGCTCAGCGCAAGTCGCTCTGTGCAAGTTGCCCTGTGCAAGTTGCTCAGCGCAAGTCGCTGTGTGCAAGTTGCACTGTGCAAGCCGCTCAGCGCAAGTTGCTTTGTGCGAGTTTCTTTGCGCAGTTTGTATCTGCCAGTTGTTGCGCTCTTCTTTGTCCTCCTTTTGTGCTTCAAAATTGAGATTTTGGAGCTGGAACTGCGAGAGCGCTACTTTCGTACTGAAATGTTGGGAGTTTATCCGTTTATCCTGCCGGCGGACAAGGGGGACTCGCCGATTACCAGAACACGCACGCACTATCACACAACTACCCTGAAACCATCCCAAAACAATGCTAAAACCTGCTTATGTAAATGGACCCTGGAGGATCTTCATGGCTGAAGTTGGGAAGCCCACCCAAAAGGAGCACGCAGACGATTGCTCGCCCATTTGTTTGAGCCAGGGAGCACTTGGCTTAAAGATCGCAATGCCAACTCCGGACATCCCCGAAGTTGTGCTCGGCCAACTTCAGGAAGAGCTTCGGCAGGAGCTGCTTTCGGAACTGCGGGAGGAAGTGCTGGAGGAGGTGCGGCAGGACTTTGGGCCGACCATTGCAGGGCTTTCGCAGCGCATCGCTGCCTTGGAGAGCGCAGAGAAGGGCACAGTCACCGTCGGCAGCCCGGTGCTCCAATTGAACTGGGAAGACTCCTGGGACGGGGTTAAGCCAGATTTCGCCCAACCAGGGGATGTGGCGACACCAGGCAATGTGGCGACACCAGGGAATGCGGCGACACCAGGAAAGCAATCGGAAGGCACAACGGAGTCAGAAACAGTGCAAAAGGGAAGGCAGGGTTCTGTTGCCTTCGGCGAGAGTGTATGGAGTTTTACAGTTGTTTTCGGCCTTGCAAGAGCTGGGCGCTTTGATTCCATCTACTCCATGCTGCTGCTATTGCTGAACTTGGGCATGCAGTCCATGTTCTCGGGCATTTTGCTGTCCGATGACTTCATGGGCTCCGATTTCTCGCAGGAGGTCTTGCATGCGAGGCTTTGGCGGACCAGCGTGGCCCACGATATCAAGTACATGGACCTGGCGACCACTAGCCTGGCGACCCGGGTGTGCAAAGATGACGGTGCCCTGATTCTCGCCCAGAAGCAGGCCACGCTAGTGAGTCACATCAACAGCTTTATGGGCTTGACAGTGGATGAGTTCGAGCCAGGACAGTTTCAACCAGGGGTGCTGCTGTGTGTACTCTGCATCCTTCTTTGGAGCCTGTGCATTTACAAGGAGTTGCGCGGCCTCTGGCTGTCTGTGGAGGCAGTGTTGGCCCTACCGCGCTCACGGCAAACTGTTTTGCAGGGTCATATGCTTCTCAGCTTGTCCAGAGGCCGCTTTGCAGTGCTGTTGGGTGTCTTCCTGGTCCGCGCAGGGATCGCAGCCGTGCTGCTGGTCGCAGGAATCCTTTGGCTGGCGCGCACGACATCCATTACGGAGCTGATGCTCAATGCTGTGGCTTTGAATGCGATCCTCGACGTGGACGAGTTCCTCTTCGCAGGGTTCACGCCCATTTCCATGCAGCTGGCGGTCCGGAATCTACAGGCCCCTAAAGTTAGATACAGCCAACGTCGCAGCCATGTGGAATCCATGTTGCTGCTGGCCCTTCTTGTGACGACGATGCTTGTTCCGTATTTCTTTCTGCTGAAGCCGCTGGCAGAGACGATGTTGGAAGTGAAGTGGGAGCTTTGTGGCGGCAATCGCACTTTCGTGGTGTCACGCAATGCGGAGACGCAGATCATCTCTGGCCTAGTAACTGAGGACAGCCGAACTGTTGATGAGCTGTCGGTGAGTGAAATAGCGGTGGACACGCACAAGTTCCAATCGCCTTACGAGCCGGCTGTCTACATTTCCTTCGCAACAAGCCAGGCGCAGCTGAACCGAGATCGCATTGCATCCGTGGAGCAGGAGAAAGTCTTAAGCCGACCAAATCTGATACGGTTTGTGGAAGGGTTTGGGCTTAGGGTGTCTGGTTGGGGAGGGTTTTCGGGTGGGTGAGTCAAGGGTGGGTTTAGGGTTGGTCTACGATACATTGAGGTGCGTTCAAGGTCAGCTTAGAGCCCGGGTGGGTTTAATTGTTCGTTTAGGTGGGTTCAGTGATGACTTTCAAGATAGGTTCAGGGCTTGAGGTTTGGCTTAAGGAAGGTTTTGGGTTTGCCCAGGGCGAGCAAAGGCACACAAGCGACGTTTGGAAGCCAGCGGCGCGCTTGCCGCAGGAGACGCAGAGTTTCACCTTTTGCGTCGAGACGGACTACTTGCATGAAAATGGAACGCTGTACCATGACACCAACCTGGAGCCCATCGTTTGGAGCCGGTTCCGGGCTGCGGCTGCAGCACTCGGCCGGTTTGACGTCTCTGGGTGCGAGGATGTGGCTGACCTGTGCCTCCTGCCCTCTGCGCGCCTGCTGCGGATGATTTGTGGCGACACGTGCGGCTGCACCGACCCTTTGTCCTCTGGATGGCACCTTGCTGAAGGTTTAACAAGGTCATCCCCGGCACTTTTTGGTTTACTCGCCACGCACTTGGATTGAGCTGTGTGGCACGCGCCATTGCCCGGAGAACCCTTGTTACTTCGGAGCATTTCGGGCGATTTTTTCCATCGCAGGTCGGTGTTCGTTTCCCTCGGGTCGGGTGTTGCGAAGGCACAAGGTGCCGGCGCACGGGTGCACGAGTTCCTGCCTGCCGGCCCTGGATGAGTTGGAAGAGCTGCCCTGCCAGGACCAGCCGGTGGGCCCGAGTTCCTAGGCGAACACAGCAGTGAAGCCGCTTGTAAAGCGTGTCGCAGTGTGCGTTGCTCCAATCCTATATAATTCTGTTCCGACAGGTCTGCTATATCCAGTGTTGTCAGAAGAATCGCAAACGGATTCGTCATTGAATTCATCATCAGCATTCAAGGTTACCGAGTTTCGACGCAACTCCCTAAGCACGACTTCCAATTCAAAATTAGCGACTGGGCTGACAAAGCTCAAAACATTCAAAAAGACTGAATGCCAGCACGAATCTCAATCAAATGACCCAGCATGACTGAGGAGTACGCATACCATGTAATTTCCTGAAGCGTTATCAGAAGAAACAACAGCGGCTCAACAACATGACCCAGCAACACTGGGTTCAGGTCTGGAGGCATACTCCGGAGGGACTCCTTTTTAGACCGGTTTTGTGAGGTCCAGCTCGCATCAAGTCATCAAGTGTCCTTTGGCCTTTTTTGACGCCTCTCAAAGGTCTGCAGATGTGCAAAGAATTGCCCGAAGTGGATGTTGTTGTTTTGGGGACCTCTCCAGATTTCGGGTATGTAAGTAGCACTCCGGGCTTTGCTGAAGGGCAATGAGTGCCATAGATTGAATTGAACTTGAACTTGCCATGGCGTTTTCCATCACAAGAGGTTGGCTGGACTTTTGGGATACCTATTTGCCTGCGATGTCCGACTTCTTCGTGGGGCAGAACATTTCAACCACTTCCTTCGGGCCGGAGATGCTCTTGACGGTGGAGGTCATGAAGGCCAAGGGCTGTGACGCGCTGCAGGAGGGTTGGTTGACGTTGAAAGAAGCAACCCGGTCCGCCTTTCGCGGGGAAACCAAAAGGAGGTTCTTTGAACAACAGGTGTTTCATCGCCTGGTTAAACCCAGGTTGAATTGCCCAACCCCGCGCAGGACTCCCAATTTCAACTGGAGGTCGCCTCCTCGGCGCGATGGTGTGAAGGCGACCCTTCTTTATTCCGACCCCTTGCCTGGGTTTGCCCCGAGAGCTGCGGTTGCTTGAGCGAAAATCCGCCCAGCTCTTGTCCCACACGCTGTGCAGCAGTCAACCAGACGTCGCAGCCCAATCCGGCATCAGATTGAGGCGCCGCTGCTCGGTGTGACTAAATACATACCGCTTTCTCGCACGTCAAATGTTAGTGCGACGCAACACAATCCATCAATGCACTTGCTTGAAGTGTATTGCAGGCCACAACCGTCCAAGACGACGTCATTCGGAGTTGTTTCCAAGAGTCTTGGAGAGTCAGCAAGACACAAGCAAATACGGAGACTTGCCCAATTCCAAACCAAGTTGGCAACAACTATGAATGACATTGGCTGCATTCTGCGCCTTGCGTTGCCTTACCCAACAGGTGTTGCGGCATGCAGGCGATCGCACCTAAATTGCATCGAATATCATCGAGGAAAAGAAGATCTGTGGGGCCAGAGGGGTGCATGCGGTAGGGTCTTGCCCTCAGAAACCCAAGTAGCCACCAGATGCGTGTGCCTTTTTTGAGAGTACCCTTTCTTCTTCTTTTTTTGGGGGGGGGCGGCTGGTGTAAAGGCTGACCGAAAGGACCCCCCCGCCATGTGGAGCGTCCCCGTGATTCGACACCAGATCTTCCAGGCGAGGCGCCGGTTTGATGAAGAATCATAGGGGCAGATCTCCGCCCTTTCAATTCTTTCTCCCTTTGGAGTGCGCCAAATTCTCAAGAACAGGCTTGATTATGCGCAATCTTGTGGATTGAGCGACTCAGATGTTCGATTTGGCCCGGGGCATGTCGCTGAGGCCAAGTGGGCCAGGCCTTGGAGCTGCTGGCGCGGTCCCTGCCGCCCACTTCCGCCCTGCAGCTGGCACGGCAGCCCGGAGGTTGGGGTCGCTTCGGGGGGGCTGGGGGGGGGGATTGGGGCTTGGGGGGGGGCGTTTCTTTTTAGGTTGGGTGCTTTTGGTGGATTTTTTTTTTCCTCTTCGGTTGACCTTTTCATCAGGCTGTTCAAGGGAGGGAACCAAAAGGACAACCACAATTTTGGGCATCCCCAATCTTTATGCCTATGTGCACAAGTTTCGTGTTTGTCTGCTCCCGAGAACGGGATGATACGAAGCTTCTCTTCCCTTCGCGGCCGTAGTGTAGCTCCCTTTGGCCCACGTGGATCTTCTCGGGGGCCAATTTCTTGTAGGTGGGTTCTGAGCAAGCCGAATTGGTCGCATACGAAACTCTGAGGCCCAGCTGGCTGGGCGCCTGACAGGAGGGCGGCCAGGGAAGGTTGGCGTGGATTGGCACGGATTGAGTGTGTTGCAATATGTACACACATACACACACGCACATATATATATATATAAAACATGTATATATATATAATTATATATATATATAAATATTATTTGCCTCTCTATACTGTACCTTTTGTGCATATACATAAACTAAATAAATATCTATGTATAGATGTATGCATGTTAGCATTCCTTGTATTGGTGGTTTGGAGGTTAGTCTGATTAACCCGATTTTTTAGAATTAGGGACACACTGCCAATCCAAATCACCAGCAAAGGGGAATCGACTGCAGTATGTCCGCCTTTTTGTGCTTTGAAATCATCACTGTCCGGGGCCAGGTCAAAATGCTTCTCCTTTGGGTGACACGATGTTCGCAGGGCAAGTGCAGGAGCCCTTAGCAATGCCCAAAGTTGTAAGACGGGGGCATGGGTCTTCGCCAGTTGGCATCCTTTGGTGCAGATGGATCCGTTTTTACTTTACCCTTGTTATTTCAAGGCATGTTTGGGTTTGAGCTTCCTGGGGCAAGCAAAGTTACGCGTCATGGACATCCCCGCCTTTGAGTCGACTTTGCCTTTATTCAAGGACATCGCCCCACGCAGGCTGTGCTGAAGTCCTCGCGAGTCTGGTGATTGAACGGAAGACCTGCTTCTTTGATCGCTATTTCCAGCATGTTTGGTTCAATCTTTTCGCCGACCGCGCGGTCAGCTTGTCAGCTTTTTCTTCGACCGCTACCTCAAGCATGTCGCTACATCCCCTAATGCACAGGTCCCAACCTGAACTTCCACAACGAATGTCGAAACCTGACATGGCGGCCTTGAAACCAATCGAAGCTCCAGGGAACGTCGAAAACACGAGTGGAAACACATCTCAACACTTGGCTGCGGGCGATGGGCAGGGAACACAATACGCCCAATTTCCCAGGAGACCCGGAGAATTGCAGCCCGATGAGCCCGAGCTCGCAGCGCCTCGCATGGGAACGGCCATATTCTCCAATTAGGGGTGATTCAGCCATGTGGTCTCAGCTTTGCCTGGCTCACCTGCACTCGTGATTCACCTTTGTACTCGCAGTAGTGACATGTGTTCCAGGGGCTCATGTGAAGGATCCAACCCAGGAGCCCCTCCCGTCTTTATGGTTTGGTGTCATCTCTCCCTTCACAAAGCCCACGCAAAGCCCAACAGTGGATCTCCTATTAGTCGAAAGCACCAGTAACACCCCCTACTCTTCCCCGGACCTTGTTTTCCCCCAAACCCCCCCCCCCCACCTCAATCCTAAACCCTAAACCCTAATCCCCCCCCCCCTCCCCCCCTCGCTTCAACCGGAACCAAGGGGATGCCGCGCCCGCCTCCCGAGGCAGTCGGAGGCCTCCTCCGTTGCACGGATCTTGTGCGACTCGGATGGCTCCGGCCATGCCTCCAGGCGGGCTGCGGGCGCGCTGCGGGCGTTTTGTTTTGGGGGGCTTCGTTACGGTGGGCCGTGTGTTTTCCCCGGCCGTTTGACTTGTGGCCGGGTGTTTTGTAAGTTTTGTTGCCCCCCCCCCCTCAACGGGAACAGCTATGCGTTTTGAAGGGAGGCCGGTGGTTTGTTGAGTTCACACCAGCCGTTGTTATTTTGGAGTTCCTCATCTTGCAATCAAGTGAGTGGGCGACTGGTGATTCCAACAATAAGAAGCACCACGGTCCCGGTCCGGCATTTTTTAGTTTTGAATCTACGCCTGGAGGTCCTGTTCACGCCAGACCCCGGAGCCCCTGGGCGTTTCAAAAAAGGATGCAGCCGGCGCGAATCAAACACCCAGAGAGCCTTTTGAAGGCCAGCTCTAGAGGGGTTCTGGAAAGGTGAGGTTCCGAAGTTGGCTTCGGCCGAAGGAGACACTTGCGTAGATTTGTTTTCCCCAGTAGCAATAGCTGCAACTATGTATGGGCCAAGAAAGGCTAACACGGACAGCGCCACTTTGGGTTTGCTTGGCCGATCCTTGCCACTTGCGGTTTGCCCGCCTGTTTAAGTGGCGTGCTAGGCAATACTTATGTATCTCTTACGCACATTCATTTGCAGGGTGCAAGCTTGAGCCCTGCAGAATTGATTTAAAAAAAATCAACTCACCATGATGGGACAAAGCGCAGGGCAAGCTTTTATAGAGCCTCAGGGTGCTTTGATTTTGGGGGCGAGATGAGCAAGAGGGCCTCCTTGGTCTGTGGCAAGGGGGGTTTGAGTCGAACTTCGGATGGCCCAGACCGAAGCCTGGCAAGCTTGACACGCGCACAACCAGACATGGCCTGCTTGAGACTTTTGGCCATGGCAGTCTTCGGGCCCTGCGACAGTTTCGGCCGATTTGCCACGACCCACTCACGTGCCGACTTTGATTTCTCAGCACAACCGTTGAGGGGCGCATGGCAGAGGGTTCTACCCTCAAAGCAGTATACAAGGATGTTCTTCTTGGGTGGGTTGGGGCGGGCGATTCACATGTTAAGCCACCGAATTGCTTCCCCTCCTCAGAGTAACACGGAAGCTCCCAGAAGGTCACTAAGAATGGGGTCGGTTCTTGAAACATGCACCCGCTGGTTACTCGGCAGGCGCAGCAGCGCCAACTGAGGGCAGTGCGCGGCAGAGCGGGAAGGGGTCGAAGAGCTTCCGGGAAGGTGAGGAGGGACGAAGGCAAGGAACCCACCAGATACTGTATAGGTGCGTCTTTTCCTTGATTGTTTTTTGGAGTCCATTTTGATTAGTTTTCTAGTTTTCATGGGGGACCAACAACATTGATAAGTGAACTGTTCCCTGAGAGTGGACCACCTTGTGACTGAGAAGCTTTGGGGCTGGCAAGCCTACGACAACCCGCCCCGTTTCACAGCGCGCTGGACCAGTGCTGCTGGATGTTTTTTGTGCGGGCATGCCTGCCCTCAGCACGCGAGTCGCATGTGACCCCAGGAGCTCATAGGCTCGTTCGCGGGAGGGGGTCCTTTCACCTCACGGGTTCGTGCTGCGTTCGAAGGCAGCCAGCCTTGGGGTCCCCTTTGGCCACGTGACTGGGACTTGTTTCGAGCTGGTGGCCAGGACCCTCCCCACGTGTTCCCATTCCAGAGCAGCTTACCCCATGACGCTGCAACACCAGCGGCCATGCTAGAAAAAGCACAGAAGGCTGGCCCAGACAAAGGCCAGATGAACTACACTGCATTTGGACTCAATCGTTCAAGTTGATCTGATAATCTTTTAATCCCCATTCTTTTTTGCGGGTTGTGTACGTAGGGTGCCGGCCACTTTGCTTATGCTAGAGTCAGCCTCTCTTTTGGGCTATGAAGATACTAAGGGCAACGGCTTCGAGCAAAGCAGTGATTCGATATGGACTGTTCCAAGGACCCCCTCATGGTTTGCTGTGATGGATAGATCCAACAGTTCAGAGCTTCTCCACCTACCTGTAGGCTTCCATTTGCAGGGTTCGCTTGAATGACAGCCGCTTATTCGGGCGGAATTGGGGTAGGCGCCAACTCCACAGCCTTGGCCCTCAACCTGCGTGAGCCATCCCCCTGCTTGTGGAATCTGACCAGGGGGTCCGAAGACCATTTTCCTCTAAACGGGGCCTTTTTGGGAGTTCCGGGTTGGGAGGGTGGCCCCATGCAGCAGCTGAAGCAAAAAGGCGCAGTGTGCAGGGCTGCCGTTTCTTTGGGTCTGCCAGGTTGTGCCAAGGGAGCCCCCGTTCAAGCGAGAAAGTAGTCATGGGGATGGCCAAGCCGCTTCAAACTAGAGTGGCACGACCCCGTGCTTAGTGTGGGAATGAATTTTGAGGGCACTGACCGGTCCGAAGTTGAAAACCATGAGCAGTGTGCAAGGATTTTGTTGACATAACCATTGATTAGACATGTTTTCAGCCATGTTTGCTTTTGAAGGCTTTAGGCAGTCATTCGGGGAGCTCCCATGGCTTTGGGTTTCGATGTGCGATAAAAACTCCTGAAAGTTGCGGTGCGAACGTATTGCTTGCTGTATTTGGTTCAATTCACATAGGGACTCCGAGGATGTGGAAAGTAGGCAAGTAGTGGCCAATTTGCTAGGTCCGTTCCTGCTTCAAGCTGCTTCGGCACGTGGCAACGCTTTTCTTTAGGCTGCTTTCCCACCCTATCAATCAACAAGAGGTCATTCCTTTGGACCGATTGGTGGCGCGACCGTCACTGCACGAAGCAAACACACTTTCACCCAAGCTTTCGGCCCCTTCCGCTATGAACCCTCCAATCAATAGCTGACGGCACGCCGCAGCTGACGGGGTCTTGGGGCCATTGGGGCCACATCTCGCGCCAGTCCCTGTTGCGGGAGCAAGCGGCACTGGGCCGCCCGGCAGCCACTGCGGTGCGTGCCCGCCGGGAGGTGAAGGAGGCGGTTTCGTTGATGCGCGGCCGGCTTTGTGCCCGTGAGGTTTGGTCCAGTTGGAGGGGCGTGGGGGAACTAAATCACTGCAGTTGCCGCAAAAAAAGGCCAACAAGGGACTCTTTATATTTTAGTTGTGGCAGGGAAGCTTGGCTCATGTAGGTCGGTCATTGTTCGAGGGCGCCGTTTTTGGCGTGGTTTGAAAAGATAGAAACCCCCACTTGTGATTGGAGTGCTCATTCAAGCCGGGCGCGCCTCCCCTTGAAATGGGACTGACGCTTGGGCACCGAAAGTACTAAAAACTGGTGGCTTCTGCTCTTTGCCTCTTTGCATGTTGCAAGTGTCATGAAGGATGGTGAGGGTTGTGGTGCAGCATCTTCAATTCGGCGCATGAGGTGTCCATTTGTGGGCCCATCTTCTGGGTTGTTTCCTGGTTTAGTTGGCTTGCGTTTCGAGGGTTTCCATTGACGGACAGCAACAACTTAGAGCTCGTGACTTCATCCTTGCCTGTCCAGGCGGTTGCGTTTGAGTTGAGGTATGGTTTGAGGTTTTGGCTTGAGGCACTGCAATGCTCCGGAGTGGCAGGGCAACATATCGTTTCGCGGTTCCTGTCTCGGAGAGGCCGGCCCCCTGACGATCAGGGACGGTTATTGTATCGCTCAGGGGTCAGCATCAACCCTCGTCTGTTCTTGAGTGCTGTAGCGCCGGTGTCAATGCCCCCAGGCAGCGAGCAAGCCGTCACTCTTCAAGCAGCGAATAGGCGAAGGGGAGGGGGTTGGGCAAACAGACAAGAAAGCGCTTCATGTGATTTTCTCAGCCGCAACGGACGAAGCGGACATTCCATGCCAGAGAAGAACTGGGAAGGCAGGACTAGCTGCATAATTGGGATTTGGTTGTTTTGTTTGGCTCTTGTTTGCTCGTCAGGGATTGCAGAGCGGAACTTTAGAAGTCAGGCTGCAGTGTGTTTGTCCTGCATGCACGGTCCGCAAGAACGACAATTGTGGGGCGAAACTGTCAGTCAGTCTTCAGGGGAGCTTTGTTTTACCCTCACCGCAACAATGGAAGTAGTGGCGCTCGTTCGTTGAAAGCAAACAAAGGTGATCCACCATGTTGCAAGCCAAGCGGACAGCGAACTGTTCCTCTCCTGAGTCCGACCGCCCTTGCTTTCTTCTCAGGGATGAACGATGAACTGTAGCTCCGGGAGCATGCAGGAAGTAATTACTGCGCATCCAATGAGCAATGGGTCAGCCCTCCTGGCAAGCAAACGAAGTAGATCATTTGCAGACAAGTTGTGACTGAGCATGGCTGTCTATGCGCTCCGTACTTTATCTGTCTGTCAACAGGTGTGGGCCAAACCCGTTCAAACAAGCTCCTTGTTTGAATTTCTTGGACTGGCTGTTTAAGACCATTTTGCTCCACCCTGACTGCTGTTTTGGGGGGGGGGGTGACTCAAGCATCATCTTGCAGGTGGAACTTGGTTTAGTTTGCTTTGGGAGGATGATGTTTAAGAGAGTCACATGACTTGGCCAGTCGAACAAACAAAAGAACGCATTCTACCCCACCAAATTTCTCACAGTACAAGGGAACAGGCTAATTCTCCCATGTCCTCTATGGCAACTGCATAGTTTAACATTGCCTCATGTAAGGAAGCCTGTGTTGGAGATGACCCGTGCAGGCGAAAACCGTCAGCGCCATCCTGAGATTGCAGCGCTCGAGGGCCGGCTGCCCAGCGGTGGTGGCATAGCCGCGAGTGTGTACCAAAATTAACATGGAAGCCCAAAAGGGATCCCCGCGAAAAACATTCCTTTGCGAACTCGCGCGCGCTTTTGGTCCCATGCAGACGTCGATGTTCAAAACCCACGTGGCCGATAGCTCTGGCCAAGCCACAGCTCCAAGACAGCCAGGCGTTCTGACCGGGGTGGGCAAAGGGTTGATGTTGGGTCGCCGTTCAGTTTCACGTTGGCCATGCCGAAGCAATTTGGGTCACTGGATCACAGTTTCTGGAGCCGGTGTTGAGCCCCCCAAGAAGGGGATAGTTTCAACTTGGCGACTCCCGTGCAAACCCCGAAAGAAACTGTATACGGACTGTATCACCAAGTTCTGTTGGATCCGTGTGGAAGATAGAGCCACGCAGGAGTAGTTGCAACAATGTGAGGGAAAGAGGGACGGCAACATAAGTCAAAGTGTTCTGCCACCTTCTGCCACATTTGTCCGCCAAGCCTTGATGTAAACAGAACAAGGATCAAACAGGGGTCGCTCGATTTCCAGGTTTGGACTTCGAGAAGTTGCACGTTCATTGGGTGAACTTTTAGTAGCATTCTACACCCTTGCGGTTTAATATCTTGATGATGGCAGAAAGACCAAATCCTAGCTTTAGACTGACCGATATCACATTGAAACCAATCGCTTTGCAACTTTTGATTTGGGAAACTATGTAAACGTAACAACGCTGTGAATGGTGGTTGAAAAGGGGAATCACCCCGACAGTAAGCCCGACCCCTCACAACATTGGGACATTTATAGAACGCGCCCCTCAAAATTGACACCACTTTACTGCACCCGCACACTCATGGAATGTGGCTTGGGGGCAAAGGCCCAGGAGAGCCCGGAAGCCGCCCTGGTCAACTCAAACTTGAGGTGAGGAGGAGCTGCCTTGCCTCAAGGAGGTGTCAGAGCGCACAGCTCCGGGCACGGAGGCGTACCATGCACCAGTGGTGAATATGGCACTTTTTCGCTTGCCTGGCACCACAACAGTAGCAGAAAGGGTTGCACAAACGTGAATTTGTGGTGCCTCTCTTCCTTGGCGTGTCGCGGCAGTTATTGGTTTTCACGATGAACAGGGCGAGTTCCGACGGGGGGGGGGGGTGGAGTTGCTTTCGGGTCGCTCCGCGCTCTGTTAGTGGGCGCCGTGAGGCGGGGCAGACCTTCGAGGCGCCTGCTGGTGGCTTCCCCGTGGCGCCTCACCGCGCGGCGGGGGGGGGGGCGGGGGTGGGGGGGGGGTTGGCAGGGTGTCGCTGGAGGGAGGGGCTTGCAAGGCAATTCAGTGTGTTTCACCCGGGGAGGAGCCTTGGTCAGCTGGGAGGTGTTCTGGATGTTGCCCTGATGTGCGGTGTACGTATTGAGGGTGCAAGGTCCTGGATGGAAGCAATTTGTGTGCGGCAATGGCATGCTCCACTCGCCAGCTCAAAATCACCCGACTGCAAAGAAAATGTCATGTTATTGCCTTGCCTTTTCTGGCGCAATAGATCCAAACGGGCTTCTTGAGTGATGTTCATACTCGACCACTGAAGGATGTTGCCCCTGCCATCTACTTGATTGCACCCTGGCATTTTTGTCGTTGAAGGGGGTGCACGCTGGTATTTCTGTTGTCGAGGGTGCAATCTACGGGGACTCCATGAAAGGAAGCATCGCCGTCTGGCAGCGGCTTAGTTCAACGATCAAACAAGCTGTGAGTATCAACACATCTTAGAGCATATATCGTATCAGTTGATCCAGATCACATGTTCCAACTCGCAGCTGCGATGTTTCAGAGCAGACGATGCCTGAATGAGTTCTTAATGTGGTTCAGTCCAGCACCACGCAGGCACTCAGACTCCACAGTGCCTCCCTTCGGGGGGTGGCGGTCGCGCCCCTCGCGAGTGGGGGCGTCGCTTGCGTGGCCATGGGCCGATGGCTTTGAGGCTGCTGCCGCTGCTGCCGCTGCTGCGCCTGGCCCTCGCCGGTGGAGTTGGCAACGAGCAGCTCTCGGTGGAGGTGGAGGGCAAGAAGCGCCACTTCCGGCGCTTCGTGCCCGAAGGCGGCCCCCGGTTTGATCGCCAGGGCGCCTTGTGGCCGTAGGGTTCTAGAGATAGAAGGACGGCCCGTTTGTTAGAGAGGGCGTGAGAGAGTGTTGGAGCAACCATTAGCAAGTCCTGGTGGTGTCGCAACTTCTTCTGCAGACATGTTCTGCACAGGGTTATCTTAATTGGACACCTTGCCGGCCAACAACTTGAAGCAAAGCAACCATTGCGGTCATCGCTGGCTTTGGCTGTGGGCCACTGCTCCCAGATCAGTCAAGTTTCTAGCCGCGCTCCGATTCAATCGAATTGATGGGGCTTTCCAAACATGAACTCCGTCCTACCCAAGTCATTGACCCGTGAGTAGCTCCCGCGCCTTGCTTTTTCAGTGCCCACTTTGGGTCAGTGCCGAAGTGCCGAAGTGAACATCTCTAGATTGCTCTTCCCCTGGCTCCGCCCAGATAGCAGCTTGGGCATAGGCGGCCTGTTTAGGTTTTGTTGTGTATAGATGGATTCCACGGGTTTCAGATTGTTTCTCATCTTTTACTAGTGGAATCCACTCTTTTTTCTCCAAAAGGACACCCAGGTACTAGGTTTATGAACCCCAAATGGTTTCAGTTGCAATGCTGATCTTGTTATTTGCATGTGGGGTAGCGTCAATCGTCGTGCCTCCTCTGACCCTACTGACGATTTTTTTTTCCAAAAAATAAAAAAAAATCGTTATAGCGTTTTTTTTTGACAAAAAAAATAGCTAGTAATGTGTGAGTCACCATAGCATGAAAATTCGGCCGGGGGCGACAACTTTTTTTCAAAAAGTCGTCAAAACAATTTCCAGAACTGGAAATCTTTTTTCCAGTTTTTTTCACCCCTCCCGCCGGGAGGCGGGGCCTGGCAGCTGTGGCTCATCTTCGGGGGCACGGGGGACACCGCGGAGAGCTTTTTGGAGTACACGGGCCTGGGGACCTTCGCTCCGGAGAAGCGCTGCTCGATTCGACACGATTGCATTTTTTTTGCTTTCTTGGGGGGGGGGGGGTGGCGGAAGGCCAGGGGTGTTTGGATTCCCAAGTCGGTTTAAGCAGCGCCGTTCGAAAATGCCCCACTTTTGCTCTGCGTGTTGAAGGGGGAAAATATGGGCAGCTGCGAGGCTGTGTGACGTTCTGGGTGAGAATTCCATGCGAGATCTCTAGTGACACGGGAGGACTTTATGTGGCCCCCTCAATTGACGGGATGGATTGTGATGACTACCAACCGGTGCTCGAAGACCGCAAACTGACCGAAATGGGTCGTTGCAATTTGGACATCAGCATCATGAAAATGGGAGGGGGCGGGGGGTGGCGATCGAGCAAATGTGCAAGACCAAGCACGCTTACCTGGAAGTGATGCAAAACCCTGAGGGCTAGCCGCCCGAGGCCTTAACCCGCCCCGTGTCCTCCGAGATCCGAGGCATCGCGTACCTCTGCTTTGAGGCGCTGGGGTCGCCGACGCTCTTCAATGTCTATCGGTACCTCTGCAACCAAAAGAGTAAGGGGACAGCAGCTCCCTGGTTGGCCCTGTGAAACCACAGGAGTGTCTAAACAAAAGTAGTTGTTTAACCATGTTTTAGACAAGTGGTTGGAGCAACTTGACCTGCTGCTTTTGGTTCAGGCCGGTTTTGCACCACCATTCGTTACTCATGGTCCCCTCCCTGTCAGGGGTCCCTGTAGCTTCCCTTCTTCTTTGCTTTCCGGAAAGGCCTTGGTCCATGTTTGTATGTAGTCCTGGAGTTTCTGGATTGGTCAATTTGATGCAAGGAAACAACACTGCAGTTTACTTGTGTTTCTCGAAATGTCGTCCAAGTTTTGCCCACCATTTTTGGGTGCAGAATGCCCCCTCCCCCAATTTGGTTCTGAGGCACGCGCACCCAGTGCCAGACAAGCCCCCGGACGTGCGCTTCGTACAGCGGGCCATCGAGATGTCAGACGTCATGAACTTCGTCGACAGGAGGTGAACACACACACACAGATATATATATATATAGGTATATATATGTATATGTATATAGTCTTATGTAGTAATGTAGACGGATGGATGGATGGATGGATGGATGGATGGATGGATGGATGGGTGGATGGATGGATGGATGGATGGATGGATGGATGGATGGATGGATGGATACATAGATAGAAGCCTGCATAGTGGTTTGCCTTGTTCTGACTGCCTCGAAGAGGCTTTGCTTGAGGTTTGTACTGAAAGTGGAGGGGGGCAAGGTTGTGGGCGCAATAGTGGGTGCGACAGGGCCCTTTGCCTGAAAAACGGGGAGGCGGGTTCACAGGGGTGCATCTTGTGCATTCTTGGGGCGTGGCAAGGGGTTCGACCCCGCCTTGTCTGGCCGGATGAGTTTGCCATCCGATGCATTGCAGTTTAGCATTCCTGGTTCGCACTTTGGCTCCGGCACAGGGTGTCCTCTTGCGGCCATTTGTCAAATTCCCCATGCCCAAGCCGAGGCGCTTGGAGGTCTTTGAATTGCAGATTTCGTGGTCAGGATTTGACTTGGTGGTGCGCATGCAACCGCGCCACAAAGCGCAAGGCTTGTCCTCTCTTATGCTCTGCCATTTTCTCCTGAGCTGTGAAGACCCACCAGCTCGAACATACACTGATTCCAGCGCTCTTGAAAGCTGGCGTTTCTAGAATGTCACGAAAGCTAGCGTTAGCAAGCTTGAGTTCCTACTTGCTTTGCAAGTGTTCCGGATGGATGCACCACTGTGTGAATACATCACATGCAGCCGCTGCTTCCTGTGGCCCCCCCCCCCTTCCCCCTCGAATCCACCCTCGGCCGGCTCGAGTCTGCGCACGTGCGTAGGCAGCTGAGTTTCTTGCTTGTTTGCGCGCGGTCCCTTTGCACGCATTGCGCCCTGCAACATGCACCCTGCCGCCGCTTGTTTTAGCCACGCGCGCACGCTTTTGATAGGTGCGCACATGTTTCTTTGCCCTGCTTGAGCTGGCACGCCTGCGCCGGTGCCCTCAAACAGCCGTCCCGGCACCGCTCATGTTGCTGCTTTTGTCAATGCACTTGCTTCTTTGAGCCCGCTTGTTTCTTTGCACGTTCGCAACTCACGTGCCCGGCTGCCTCAGCCATGGGCCCGGGCAACGCTCGTTTCATGCACGCGCCGTAAAGTGGGCTAGGACCAAAGTTGAAGTTTTGTTTGGGCTCATTTTACGCTGCTATCACGTGGCTGACTGCTGCCCGTTCTTTGACGGCGGACAAGCCGCGCGTGTGTTGCTAGCTTTTGTCCACCCCTCTCTCAAGTATCAAGACCAAGTCCAATCCGCTGTCCTGCAAGTGTCTGGCCTAAGCTATAGGTCTGGATTGATCCTTCACCAGTTCCGACAGATTCCGGTCCCATGTTACTGCGCAGCTTTCTTTTATCGCCCGGCTTTGGAACTCCTCTTTTTTCTTTTTTCCATGCTGGTTTGTAGCTTTGAACAAAACTAGGAGTGCCTGCCTCATGCTTTCAAGGGATCCTCTTTTCAGGATAATTTTCAGGAAACCACTCAAAACCCAGGGGAAACAGCTTGTTTTTGAAAAGCGCGAGTTGAGCATAGTGTGGAATCAAGCCGGGCACTCGCCAGGCACGTGCACTGCGCGGGCTACTCCAACGGGGGCCGTTTCTGCGTCACCTTGGCCTCGGAGCTCTCGGACGTCGTGGCCTCCGTGGGCATCATCTCGGCGCTGAGGTACCCGAAGCCCAACTATGCCATCAGACCCGTACCCATCCTGGCGCCTCGCTGTGGCGGGTTCGTGTGCCAACGGTTCGTTTTTCTTCTTTTTTTCAGCGAGGTTTTGAGGGTAGCAACCCTAATGGCGCTCACCAACTAATATGACACTATGGGCCAGGTTAAACCCTCGAGCATGTACATACCCGAGTGTGCATTCACGATGCCACTTGCGGGCTGGAACAATTACTTTGTTTGATGTTGCCACTTTGGGCTGTGACATGGCTGCTTGCCAGAATGCTCGGCATGATGTTGGCATTTTGGACAAGCTGCCGCGCCCGAACGAGCAGGAAACGTGGCAACAGCAAACCAAGCCTGAGCCATGGAGATGGGGCTGAAACTGCCGAAACGAATGTTGGTCGGGGCTTCCTTTGAAAGTTCGCACGCCGAAATTTGGGCCGGCATCTGAATTTAGGGGTTGGCGCTTGAAGCTAGGGGGAAATCCTTCAATGTATCGAAACAAAACCATTTGTTTTGGTGTGGGTACCTTTGGTCCGTGTCGTGTTGGTCACCCGTGGTGTGAGCGGGTGTGCTTTTTACTTGGAGCAGTTCTGGTGTGTACTCTTGAGCGGGTGTGCACATGATTTGGCAGGCATGTCTGTTGTGACATGCTCATCATGTGGCAGGCATGTGTGCAGCTTTGCGAGTGTACTGCTAAGACTCCATAGCTGTCGCTGTTGGGAGAAAAGATGGAACGTTGCGCAAGGGGTCCGGGGCGTTGCCTTCCAAGGTGTTGGGAAAGTCATGCCGAACGTTTTGTGATGCGTGTTGTTGTCTTGAGTGCTTGGTCTGTTGGTTTGTCCGCGTGTTCGCTTCAGAGTTCGTGGGGGTGACAGTGCATGCGCGGATATACCGGTCGATCACTTGTGTAGGCAAGCACCATTGTGACACATTAGTGCCCCAATGCACCGCTATGTCGGATGCTGGCGCAAGCATCGACGCACCGGCCCGCCGAGCCCGCCGAGCTCGCCGTACGTAGGAGAAAGTTGGCATCATTGAAATCTTTTTGCCAACTGCTTATGCCCCTCATTACTTGCCAGCGAAGAGGCAAGGAAAACTATGATCACTGTCAAGGTCTGGATGGGCACTAACAAAACGTTCGTGCCCCTGGTTGCCAGCTTGCGTTCGTTTCCCATTTTGAATCAGTTGCCCGGTTGTGTATTGTTGTCCTTCGGGCTGCTTATGCTGAGGCTGGGGTGTCGACAAATCAGTTAAAATCACATCAAAGCCCCCCTGCGACTGGCACGCGGTGCTTGCCATATGACTGCGCATGGCGTGTTGAGAATAGCCTAGCGTCATATCGGCCAATCGTCGTATCAACCAGCGTGTATCAGCATGTCGGCGATTTACTTTCGTTGCGGACAGATCTGAGGCCATGCACGGCAAGGCGGACACGGTGAACCCATGGGACGGACATGGAAACCCAGAGTACTGGCACATGTCGGTTCCGGAGGCACTGGCGCCTTTGCAGCAAAAAGGGCGGTTTGGATCTGACTGAATTCAGCGTCTATGGTTGCTTGCAGGCCCAAAGGGAGACGGCACACAAAGGGCAAGCAACACAAACAATCAGACTGAATAACAAGGCTGCTCACCAGCTGCGCTGGCAGCAATCTCGAGTATGTGTCTTAGTTTCTTTGGCGGCAGCTCTTTCTGGGCAAGACAACAATTTCCAGCTCTGCTCAGACAAGGCCAAGTGGTGCACCTTCAACGAATGTGCCTGTGGGCACCCGGAACAACGGCAGCTCTTTCCTGATGTTCACTCGCTGAGCGGCCTGGCGATAAGAAACCCTCTCTGAAGCAATGTCCGCTTCCCTCCGCAGCATAAGCTTTTAGGGACCTGGGGTCTGGTTACTGGGATAGAGTTAGCCGTTTACCGGGGACTGCAGCAAACGTTTTTGTGTTGTTTCGACTCTGCATCACATATCCCGTTCACGGCTGGTACTTGGCCTCAAGTCATGTTTGTGGGTGTTTCGGAGTGGATGGGCCCCACTTCTCGGGAGAGTGCAATTGCTGCAATGGCTCGGGCCAAGGGCGCAGCTTCACAGTGCCAGAAGAAATAGACACTTAAACTTGTCAGTGGATGGAGGCTCTCCATGGCGTTGCGAACGTTGCATTTCAAGGGTGTTGCCATGGTGGGGTCAGCGCCCTTTTGAACCAAAACCGCTCTAAGAAAGGCTCTTACAGCCTTCCGCCAAAAAGAGCATTTGGTCCTTGTTCTTCCCCTAGCCTCGGTGAATGGAGAGAACCCAGGCTGTCAAGGACCAATTCCCGAGGCTACCGTTGCCGCGCCGACGCAGAGCTGGAGCTCATGATCTTCGAGCATGGCGGCCACTCCTGGCCCGGCTGCGCCAATGACCGCAGCGAGCAGTGGTGCGGCGTGTGCAACCAGGCGCCCGAGTAAAAGCCAATCGCCGGGTCGCTAATCGAAGAATTGGCTGGGTGTGCGGGATGGGCAAGGGCCCGGAAAAGGGAAGACGGAAGATACGGTGTTTGGGTTTGCTCACCTTCTGTTTCCTGCACCTGCTGCAGTTGGCCCCCTGTTCATATGTTGATTTGCATCCGGCCACACACACACACATCTTTCCCATGCTCCTTGCTTGCATGCTTGCAGGCACAAGGAAAGTTCTACCCCTTTCTATTTTCTACTTGCGCTCTTTGTGCAGGTAGTGGGTCAAAAATATGTACCCAAAATGGAATCCTGGTAAATGGAAACATGGGCCAAAACCTGGGGTCCTCTGGTGGTTTAATTTTGGCCCACAGCCAAATGGACCAGGAGGTGGACGCCAACCTGGAGCTCCTGAACTTCTTCGCGCGCCACCCTCTGCCCCTGGCAGCGGCCGCCTCCGCCTCGCGCGGGGAGGGCGGGTCGGCGCTGCTGGCGGCGCTGGGGCCGGGGGCGGGGGGCCCGCGCTGGGCGGCTGTGGCGCCGGACGTGGCCTTCTTTGGTGCCTCGGCGGCAGCGAGGGTGCCGAAGCAAGCCGCAGGCCACCAGGGAAATCCCGAATTCTGGGTAAGCGCTGTTGAGCCACATCGCAAATCGGGGCGGATTGCGCCATGATGGATTCCTTTTTCTACCCTCCCCTCAAACTCCGCTGCATGACCTGTGGTTCATGCGCATGAGGGCCAGCCCGCTGCGGGCTTGCAATAAGCTTGTCAAACTTCGTCACTTGAACGACCAAGTGACCCTAGCCATGAGGTCAGAATCGTTTCTGAGTTTGGCACTTGCGTGCCACAAGGACCAGGAAGAAAACAGGCCCACAAGGTCGCCAGAAGCATGGCTTGCAAACCCAGAAGCCAACAGGTCAACCAGGTCAAGAAGGGTTTTCCTTGACATCGCGCCCCGTTGGCTTCACTTTAACTGTCCACCAAAGCACAACAGCAGCACTTGCTTTTCCATTGTTCCATGACTTCGTCGGGGGCCAAAGGGCCAAATGGCCAAAGCATCAATGGCCAAGGATCTCTGTTCCTCTTGATTTTGACGCTCTGTGGCCTTTGTCACCTACTGCACTGCCGCCTCTGCGGCTGCCGCTCCAATGGCCTTTCGCCGCTCGAGCGCTCAGATTGCCGTGGGCTGGAGGTGGAGGAGATCCGGGAGCCAACCATTCAGCGCATCAAGCTGCCGTTTTTGCAGGGCCGGTCTGTGTCCCGTTGATTGCGATGGGAGCAGCACTGCATGCAAAGCGCGATGTCTGCTCAACTCCTCCAAGAGGAGCTGCGTTTTTCTATTCGTTTGAACAAGGGCTCCTTGCCATTTCAACTGCTCGCTGATCAGAAGTGGATGTTCTTTGGACCGAACCCCAAGCTGCCAGGGGCGCTTACCTGGAGGCTAATTGCCTCCTTGCAGGCGCCATCTGGCAGGCCCGGCCCACAGGCCAGGCCGAGAGCCAGGCAGATGGTAGATGGGACATACCTGGTTTTCCAAGCAAGCACATTTCATCGCCACGAAAAGAGCGGTTGGGAAGGGGAAGCTGCCATCATCAGGTATGAAGTCTGCCTCGTGCAAATTCGTCCCTCTGTCCCTGATTGCCAGGGGCGCGGGCCAGCGGGCGTGCAGTGCTCTTTCCGTGGTTTGGAGTTGGCAACCCTTCCATGAAGGTGCTTCATAGGCAGAGGGTGGTGAAGTAGTGGCTAGAACGTTTACATAGCGTTTCCCCCACCTTATTTGTAGCACCAACAGCCCCGAGCACAAGCAGTCGCTTCGTTTGGAAGCGCGTGCTTCCAGCTGTTCTCGCGCGTTAAAAGAGCTTGGCGGCTGCCTCAGCTTTTGCTGCACAGTTCACTTGATGCCAAGGGTGAGCCAATCTTCTTCACCAACCGCGGCATAAAAGTAAAGCAGAAAGAACAAAGAACGGACCAAGAAAGCAGGCAACACTTATGCAAGCAATGGAACAAGCGGGGAAAACACGAAGAACGACCAACACGGGCGCAAAGATCGCCGACTTGTCGACGACGCCAGGCCGGGAAGCGCCTCGGAGTGGCGCCAAAGGCACCTGTGCGCGCAGGCGATCTGGAGGCAATGAGAACTCGGGGAGGGAACGCCCAGGTTGGTTTTAGAGGAAGCCAACAAAAGCCACCTTGACGCAGCATTACCAAGCCATTTGTATATATATATATACACATGTGTGCAAAGAGGTTCGAAAGGGATCCACATCTATCCTCCAACATGCGCAGTGAGCAGACGCCGGGATTTGAAATTGGGTTTTGAACACGGGGACAGCTATCACGGAACACAGGGCGCTCTTGTTGCGACGCCTTGCCGGAAGGTTCCCAACATTAAGTGAGGCTTTAGATTTTTCAGTACAAGTTTGGAGGTTCGGCATGTCATCGGTTCTGACACTTGACTGCGGCCAGGAGGAGTCCATTGACCTGGAGAACCGCAAGGCCCTGGAGAGTGCCTCACCTGAGGAGGCACAAGATCTTCGGCTTTTGTGAATTCGGAAGAAAGAAGCGGCCATGAACGAGCTCGGGAAGAACGCAGCAAGAGATGGGGAGGGCAAGAATGTGATTCGCTTTCACCCCACCAAACTTGTTCGTGCGTGTTCTCTCCCGCATGGCTTCCCCCAAAGGTAGTCAACGCTTGAAAGCGGCGGGCGGAAAGCACCAACCACGCTGGCTTGCAGAAACCCTTCGTGATCGGGTAGGCGTCAGAGCGCGCGAGTTGGTCCCGTGTTCCATTGCTCAGGGCTTCCTTCCCCAGTTGCCCAGTTTCCCTTCCCCGGGGTTCCCCTTAATGCCAACCAACGTTATGGTTTGAACCCTGGCTTCCAAGTGGGGCGAATTGAAGATTTCGTCCATTTGCATTGAAGCGACGAAACCCAACAACCCAACAACCCCTTTGAATGCAGGGCTCATATTGGGCTCAGGTTTCCCTTCCCCGGGGCTCAGCCCCGTAGCCACGGAGACCTTCGCCATCGCCATCGGCCCCCAGTCGCGAGCATAGGTGTCCTGTTTAGTTGATTTGCTCGAAAAATAGATGGCGATTCCTCGTTTACCTGGTGGTTGAATCATCCACCGAAACTATGGTCGCGAGGTGAAGGAGTGGCAGCGGGAGCTCTTGGAGCAGCTGGGCGCCGAGACCTGCGCCTTTCTGAGACGCCGGGGCGCCGAGAAGCGGTGGGCGGAGCCGCAGGTGAAGCCGAGGCCGAAGGAAGAGGCGGGGGTGGGGGGAGGGGGGGCGAGGGAGGGGGAGGGAGGGATTGTGGTGGTTGGTTGGAGGGATTGTGGTGGTTGGTCTTCAGCACTCTCAATTTGGGATGTGGAGCCCCAAAACGGGTTTTGGCTGGAGGCCTTGTGTTTCTGCTTGCTATTCATCAACAATAAAAGCATAGAAATGAGCAAGTGTTGGATTGAGTTCGACGCCTCAAGGGTCCGTGACGCCTACCAAAGGGTTAAAAAAATAGTTCCCACTGCCAATTTACGTGGGGAATTCGATTCAACACCAAAAAAAACTTAAGGGTAAGGCAGCTTGATGCGCATGCTGAAAGGGGTTTGGGGTCATCTAAGCAGGAATGAGTCTTGGCCGCCAAGAGGAACAGGCTTGAACTGTTTTCCGGGAAAAACTTCACTATGAAACCGCCTCTTCTGTACGAGCAAAATGCGTTGTGTTGGAGCCCAAATTCTGCTCGTATTTTGGCAGATTGGGCTTGCGTTTGCGGCAATTGCGAGTTTTCACAAAGAAAGCAGTGATCTGCAACAAATCCTGCATGGGCACATTTTTAGGGTTTTGGCCACACACGACATAATACGGAGCAGAACGTGTTTTTTCTCACTAGGCGTTTCTCAGAGGCCCCAGGTTCCCCGTGAACCAACTCCGAACAAGCTCCGAACGAACAAACTTTGAACGAACTCCGAACGAACTCCGAACGAACTCCGAACGAACTCTGAACGAACTCCGAACAAGCGAACAAGCTCCGAGCGAACTTTGGCTTTGTTCCCGAGCCAACTCCGAACACACTTTGGCCATAAGTATGTTTTTGAGCCCAAGTATTTTGGTGGCCAAGCGTTTTTTTTTTTTTTTTTGCTTTTTTGTGCTTACCAAAAAAGGCCAAGTGATCAGGGGCCAGTTTCAACAAGTGGCCTGGGAAGGTGTTTTTTGAGGCAAACACACATGTTCTCAGGGCACTTGTTGAAATTAGTTCTTTTGGTCGCTTGATTTTCCTTTTATGTATGTTTCGGGCTGGATTTACTTCCCGGACAAGCGCCAAACAAACTTTGGCCATATTTTTCTTTGGGGGAGCTGATTTTTGTGTTTCGGCCTTAAGTTTCAGTTTTTCGGCTTTGTTTTGTTTTATTGCTCTTTTTTTTCAGGCTGTGATGTTTGCTTTTTTTTTGGGGGGGCTTAATTCTTGCCCCGGACGAACTCCGAACGAACTCCGAACGAACTTTGGCCTTAAGTTTTTTTTGGAGCTTTTTTTTTCTTCCCTCCTCAGTGTTGAACTTTTTGGGTTTTGGTCGTGCAACAACACTGGAATTACAGCTTGTTGATGCGTTTTTCGTACAAATTAAGTGTTACCAGGGCAACACCAAACATTGAAACATGCTTAATCCAGGTTTTTCATGCAAAAAAAAACAGCTATTTCATACGACCAAAATCGGGCAAGCCATTACACAAATCGGGCAAACCCTTAAGTTCAACACCGGTGCTGAACTTAAGCTCTTTTTTTTGGAATAAGGTTTTTTTTCCCGGATTAAGCCTTGATCAAAAAGATTACGCTTTATTTCAGCTTCAACAGCGAGCCTCAGCGTCAACCAAGCTGCGTGATCACCCCGGTAACGATTTTAGCCCTCCGCAGCTCTGAAGTCCTACCCTGAACGTCTTTCCAGGCCACTTGTTGAAACTGGCCCCTGTAATCACTTGGCCTCTTTTGGTAAGCCCGTAAAAAAGCAACAGAAACAGTTTGACCACCAAAATACTTAGGCTCAAAAACATGCTTATGGCCAAAGTGTGTTCGGAGTTGGCTCGGGGGTTTGTTCGGAAATCAACCAATGACAAAGCTTGCTCGGAGCTTGTTCGCTTGTTCGGAGTTTGTTCCAAGTTCGCCCGGAGTTCGTTCGGAGTTCGTTCGGATCGGAGTCTGTTCGGAGTTTGTTCGGAGTTTGTTCGGAGTTGGTTCACGAGGAACCTGGGGCCTCTGAGAGACGCCTACCAAGAAAAGCACGTTCTGCTCCGTATTATGTCGTGTGTGGCCAAAACCCTAAAAATGTGCCCATGCAGGATTTGTTGCAGATCACTGCTTTCTTTGTGAAAACTCGCAATTGCCGCAAACGCAAGCCCAATCTGCCAAAATACGAGCAGAATTTGGGCTCCAACACAACACATCTTGCTCGTACAGAAGAGGCGGTTTCATAGTGAAGATATTCCCGGAAAACAGTTCAAGCCCTGTCCTCTTGGCGGCCAAGACTCATTCCTGTTTAGACGACCCCAAACCCCTTTCAGCAGGCGCGTCAAGCTGTCTTACCCCTAAGGCTGAGCGCGCAGAAACGCGCGGTCCCCTGGGAAGCAAGCAAATTGATTCTTGTTTCGAGGAAACTGGCATCACTAGTGCACTTTGAGATTTGCTGCAAAATCTGGGCTTTTCTTTTTTTGGTTTTGGCAAACCCTTAAGTTTGAGTAAAAAACCTTATTTATTCTTTTTTAGGACCTTAAAACACCCAAATCCCGAACGAACTGACCTGACCCATGAAATTTGGCAGTTCCCACCAGAACTTGCTTACCGTTTTTGACCCCGCGTTCTTGGGGGTGGGTGGGGGTGCTTGTGGTTGTGTCTTCGCAGAATTCTGGTTGTCGGCATACGCATTGTTCATCCTGCAGGAAAGCAGTATGCCGCATGCCCTCGCTTGCCTGACCATTTGGTGCATCTTTGTGTTTCCTTCCTTGCCTAGCGTTCGTTTTGGTATCTGTTACTGTCAATTTTTTGCGGAGTAGTTCCAGGGAATCACAAGCCCGCCTTCCAGATTACACGAATCTTGGGGCCCCGCACCATCCCCGTGTCGCGAGACATGATCTGCAACCTTCGGGTGCTCTTCGCTTTCAACGTTCCAACGAAAGGGCCCGGACGTGGAAGTGCTCCAGGGCTCCATGTCAACCGTCCCTGAGGCATGCAGCGTTCACTTGGAGCATATCGGTCGAAGCCTCGCCAGGAGCTCAAGGAGCCAAAGGAGCTCAAGCCGAAGCCGGAGGACAGGCTTGGCCCCTTCAATGGATGCCGGTCTTCGCAGGGCGGGTTTGTTCCAAACCCCGGCAAGAGAAAGGAAGCAACAGAGCCCGTTGCCACACACACATGTTTCTTGAGGGCACCCTTTTTGGGGTAGTCTTGAAGGACAGCCAGAAGGACGCCGCGATTTTTGGTTCGCGGATGACGGGCTCCGCAGGAGAGTGTATCCTCTGTGTCGCTGGAGTTTTCCATGGATGGCGTGGAGGCAATGCGGTCGAGGGTCGGCCTTGTGGCTGGGTTGTTGTTGTCTGCCTTGTTGCAGTTGTGTGCCACTGCAGGTCGCGGATTGGAATTAGGGACCCTCGCAGTTTGTGTATGGTCCCCTGCTACCGGGCACCCGTGTCCGGGCCTGATCCTGACAGCGTGATGTGCTGTGATTTGAGGATGCTGGACTTGTCACTGTCGCAAAGGGTCACATGCACAATCGTTCTTTGGGTGCATACGCCCACCTACTTCAGGGGTCCCTAACACGGGATGATGATTTAGGGGGGAGAGGTTCTCGGGAGCCCTGTGCCTTTGATTTGGCGCATGCTTGTAGGCCCGTGGCTTGAACACACGGAAGGAAGGAAGGAAGGAAGGAAGGAAGGAAGGAAGGAATGAAGGAAGGAAGGAAGGCAGGAAGGAAGGAAGGAAGGAAGGACGGAAGGAAGGAAGGAAGGAAGGAAGGAAGGAAGGAAGGAAGGAAGGAAGGAAGGAAAAAAGGAAGGAAAAAAGGAGACGTACCTCAACCCATTGTTCTGCTCAAATGGGTACGTGTCAAAGTGGGGGGGCCCAAAAATGGTCGAACCCGAGTCCACAAATTGGGTACCCTGCAAAAAGCCGATCTCCAGACCCAAGCGCTTCACGTAGGCGAGTCTTGGTGGCCTGGACCGCTCGGAGCTGCAGAAGCTTCAGCCGGGAGCTTCAGCAGTTTAAGGAAAATGGGGACCTTCCAAATGGGTATGGATCAAAATCAAACCACCAAGGACCGCAGGTTTTAGTTTTTGGTTCCATTTACTAGGGTTCCATTTTGTGTACCTATTTTTGACCCACACCTAAATGATGAGAATGTGTCGTTGGTTTCGCTTTGCAGCCCCAAGAAAGGGGACACTCAAAAAAGAGAGACCCAGATTGTGGCCTTAGGGTGTGGCATGAAGAGATGGCTCCAAAAAATCGGCCACATGGCCCTAACTTTTGTCATTTGGGGGTGTTGAAGCTTTCGCTGGTGGTAGCGGGTCAGGTTCTGCTTGGGTTCCATGTTTCGGGGATGCGTCCGAATCACGTCAATCAGAGCCCCCAGGTCTGCAAGAATTGTGGCGCCCAGCAGGGAAGGGGTGCCTACTCTTCTGTGTAAGGTTTGTGAACCGTACTAACATTCCGCAGGCCTGTTGCCCTCATTGAAGGATATGCCCTTCTGACGGCTAGAGGGTGCCGGCCCTCATTGCGCCAGAGTTTCCTTCTGGGGAAGGATGAGCAGCCAGCTGCAGTTCAATCGATTTCTAGTGGTGTGGGCAGACCCTCCCTGGTTGGGGAACCACTGGCGGTGGGGCTTTTTTGACATGCCCGCCGTGCAATGTAATGTGTGCCTTACAGTGGGGAGCCGGTTTGGGATGGTTTTGAATGGAACATGCAAAACCAGCTGGAAGGAAACATGGAGCTCCCCACTCAGAGCTTGAGATGGTTTGGCTAGCTATGACGCTCTTTGGGCGATTGTTCAACAAGTTTCCTGTGCGAGGTGGGGATTTCAACAGGACAATGGCAACCTGCCCAGTCGTTTTCACCTTGGCATCCTCCGTGGTGACGCCACAAGTGGGTTAGTGCGGCTCGCTCAAAGGTGGACGGCACCCGCTGGCGAGCCAGACTTGGACAAGGCGTGGGGGGCCGAGAGGAAGGTGGCAGCTTCGGATCGCACTGTCAACCCCCAGCTGACCGGCAGAGGTACGGGCCATGGGCTCAACGGACAACACTAAGCTTACGTAGGTTATGATTTCTGCCTGCGGAGAGGCTCCATGTTGTTTTGTACTACCGTACCCCATTTCTTTTCCAGGTCGGGAAATATGTGTTTGGAAACTTTGCAATCACTCCCCACCCAATATCATAAAATCAACCAGCCAATTAAACATGTTGCGTCCCCTGGCCACGCGGAGGTCTGGCGCCCCATTTGTGTCCAAGCCTTTGAAACGGCTCGGACAAATATTGTTGACATGAAAGGGGAGCCAAAAAACGAGCCTGTCAGAACAAGCGTGGTTAAACCAGTTCTAAAGTCCTTCAGACCTACCCCCTTTGGTTTTCCAAACGATTTGAGCCACCATCTTGGCCCCTTCTCGCCTTCCCGGGTTTCTGAGTCGCAAAGTCGCAGGTGCTCGAGGACCCCAGCCTGGCGCCGGAGCCCATGGCCAAGGCGCTGCAGCTCATCCGCTTCGACTTCGAGGGCGCCGTGTGCCCCCGAGGCGCGGGGCGGGGCGCAGCTGGTGAGGGGCGGGTTTTCTGCGGGTTGTGACCTTGTGACCGGTGGGGGGGGGATTGGGGGGATGGGGCGGGGTTCGGGGAGGGACCGGGATATGATTTTATTGGCTGGGACCGCGCTGACGTGGGATGTCCTTGAGTGTTCGTGCTGTAGGGGTTGAAGATGGGATTCAAGAGGACGCTGACGCCCGCTGAGGGCAACCTTTTGTGACACGTGCGTGAAAGCCACAAGCTCAAACGATGAAAGCGAGGCTCGACCCCTCTCGATGTTCCACCCAGTCAAGTCACGGTCTACGTTGTTCCGAAGTTGTGGTGGAGCACTCGGTGCGGGTATGTTTCATAGTCGGCTACGCCTAATGGGTGACCTCGCGCAAATCTTTAGTTGTTGAGTTTCGCGCCACATGTCAGGCACAAACATTCGCCTATGAGCCTATGAGGCCCTAAAACTGAATGTGGCGCGAAACCCACAAAGACAAATTGCAAGAGACTTCCCCCTGAAATGGAATTGAAGCACATATGATATTGGCCTAAAGGAGCTGGGTTTGGGGCTGAAGGCTGAAGCTGTCAAGGAGCATCCAACGACAACATAGCTGAAATGCATATTTACAAAGATTGAACAAAATAAATACATTTAGAGCCTAGAGGAAACATGCATCATCTCGAGCACTTGGAAACCGCCAAGAATCACTACGAGAGGACATTTCAAGTTTCATTTCCAGCCTCAACCACATCCCTTGTATGCCTATGCTGAATTCCATTTGTACCCTTCATACTTACGAACATGTTGGCTTGCGCGCGGCATTTCATTTTTGGGGGTGGTCTCGTCAGCAATTCTTACTGGCTTCCAAATTGCCGAGATGGTAGATCTTCCCGCTAAGCTTTAAGGCTTCCACAATTTGAACATGCACCTCGTTGGATGAACCTTGACATCTTTAAGTTTCCTCCCAATATTGCTTGAATTCCATTTGTAAGTTTTGCACCTGTGTTGCGAAAAGCAAGAGCTTGTGTTGGCTTCTTTTTTACATTCAAACAGCCTATGATTAGCTAAAACTATGTCTGTTAACATGATAAATCTTTGCGACGCCGCAGCTTTGGGGATCTCAGTGGATACTCGGATCAGCTCGCAGGCCGGTTGCAGTCAGGTCAGGAGGTCAGCAGGTCTCTGCCCAAAGCGGAGCCATGGCGCTGGCCGCCGGCATGTGCGACCTTTTCTCGACGCTGCGGCGTGCGGGGTCCCAGGGCCTCGAGGTCGAGGGTCCCAGGGCCTCGAGGGTCCCAGGGCCTCGAGCGGACAGGTGATGGCTTCTTTCTTGCGTGGCAAAGAAAGACTACGGCTCGGGTGGGGGGGGGCAAGGCGAAACCTCTTTGGGCATTTGGATCTTTGCAGGTCAGTTTGGGTTTATATATCATAGGGGCAATTCTGGCCTGGGGAATGTTGACGCCATGTTTCTTCTCACAAATGTGCGACGTCCCTCAAAAGGTCAAAGAAAGGCTCCCCTTTGTTCCTTCAAAGGGCGCACGCTTCAGGCGCCCCTGCTGTGGGCGCGGCTTTCCACCGCCGCTTCTGCGGAATGACGTCTCCCTCCACGGCTTCTGCAGTGGGCGTGGGGGTCGTGATGGACGCAGCGAAGGTCGGCATTGGCAGTCTGGGTCCTTGAAGGGAGAAACCAGCAAAATAGATATTTCCCCTCAGAGCTTCCTTTTCGGTTTCAGCCAGGGCAGCCTCCAACTCCACACGCCCAGGGCCAGGGCTTCGTGTCTCGGGTTCGTTCGATTTGACGCCCCCGCCCGTTGCCCGTCGCAGCGCAGAGGTCTACGCGGTGGCTGCCGGGCGGCGCCCGGGTATCTACGACACCTGGGCGGAGTGCCATCAGCAGGTGGCGGGCTTCCCAGGCCGGACGGGGCTGGGCGGGATCCCAGCCCGCTGGTTCAGACGTGTTTCTTCACGTGTTGAAATATTAAACAGCATCCTTCTGTTTCCTTTGAAAATCAGGGTTCCGGTTGTTGAAGGCCAATTGTACCCAACCCTGACGACCCAGTATGTTTTTGACGTCGTGTCAACAGAGCTTCGCCACGGCGCCCCAGAATGCGTGGATCATCTTTCTGCCAAAGGCTGTGCGTTGGTGCACTGCTAAGGTCTTTGCATAAACAGGCATGGCTTTCTTTTGGGTTTGTTGAGCAGTGCGACAGGTCATTTTTTACTAAATACTCTGGCTTGGCTCCATTTGTCGTTTTTTTCTTCTGTTTTCTGCTCACAGTGATGGTTGCAATTTGTTCCCGCACAGTTGTTGTTGGCAGGGAACATCCTAATGCTAGGAGGATTTCATGCGGTGTTCAGCATCGTGTCGTTGCATGCCTGCAGAAACTCTTCACGGCAGATTACTTGCTTCATTTTCTGCGGGTGCAGACACGAGTAGTTGTCTCGCGGCTGTGAGGCGCCCGATATAAAGGCTTCAACGATGAGAACGGCGCGAAGCGATTTCTTGCGCAAGAGCCGGCGCAGAAGGTTCGCAAGGACACGGTGGATCCCGAGTGGGAGGCAGGGCCTGGAAAGAAGCCAATCTTCGGCCATGCTTCTGCATTTCTTTGGGTGTTTGTTCGCCCCCCCCGAGCCTGTCAGTACCCTCAAGTTTAAGGTCTTTGTGACAATGGTTCGGGAGAAAAGATCCGTGCGTCCGCTGTGAGTTCTCTCACATAGTGCAGCCCAGGTTCCAGGCCTGACTGAGCCCCAAGCCTCGGGCACAGCTCATTGGATGGCAGGTCGATGGGGGGACGGGGACGGGGGGGGAGGGTGGCGCGGCAGGCCGAGGTGTTGGCAGAGCTAGGGGAGGAGCAGCGGGCTGTGGCTGAAGCCGTGCTTGCTGGTGGCAATGTTTTCATCACAGGCGCGGGTGGGGTGGGTTGGGATGTATCCAAGCGAGGCCCCAGAGTTGAGTTTTTGTTTTCCATCTTAGCAAGCGATCCAAGCAGCCCATTTCTTCCAAGTTTCTCTTGCGAAGGGTCCTCTAAGTTTTGCCGTGTGCTGGTTGGTTTGCCCCTCTGGCCACGTCATCGAGTGCGCGAATTCGGGGAAGTTCCATTCAATTCAGGTACTGTCTGGCAGAGTCCGTGTTGCGCCCACATTTTTGCTCGGCCTTGGGCATGGCCGAGCCTCAAGCCTGAGGCCAAGCTGGCTGCGGCAAGAGTTTTTTGGTATCGCGCCTCATCAAGCTGCTGCAGAAGCGCAAGGGCAAGGAGGGCCAAGCAAAGGTGGTTGGTTCAAATGCAGTCTGGTATGGCAAGCGTCCATGGGAGTCTGCTGAGGAGGGGTGACACGAATCAAAGATAAATGAATGCGTGGGGCTAGCACGCCTGGCGCCAAGACTTGTTCTTATGTTGTCGCCGGTCCGTGTGGATGTTGATCTAGAAACCGGCTTGGATGTGGCTTTTGTGTATCCGCCCCTGTAGGATATTAAAAGAGTACTAAACGAGTACAGAAGAAGAACCGAGAGGGGGAAGAACATGTGAAAAAGCGCCTCCAAACCGCTCTCTGGAGTTGATGGCTGATCATCAGATCTACAGGGACCGGTGCTGGTGTGCCTTGCGGTTCGCCTGTTTGCATTGAGGGGGGGAGTTGTTGTTGGGGCAAACCCAAGTGAAAGCAGCTGCTTAGCAAGCTTCCCAGCCACAAAGTATGCCCCAGCTTGGCGTTTTGTGGAAGGTTGGTGCTGGAATTGAGGCAACATGTCAACGTTTTTTTTTCCCCCCCCCTCCGGAGGTCAGATTTTGGTAGCCATATCCTCGGACAGTTCTTAGAGAGATTTTGCGTTGTACTCGGGGCGCCGGAATTGGCTGATATGAGCCAGGGCCAAAACAAGTCTTGGACCAAAGCAAGCGACGCTATTCCCCGATGCTTCGCAATGCTGTGATGCCTGCATGGCTGTCGATGAGCTGCTGCTTTTGCTGCTGCCGCTGCTGCTGCCGAATGAGGATGTGGATGTG